CTCTCAAGCATCTGGATAACTGTCCAAGTTAATGGCCTTTTAGAAAGTCTTTTGAGCAAGAGATAGAATAATTGCTTCACTATCTAAGGACATGTTTGTTTCATTGTGTTGGGTCCTAGAGGTGCTGAGATTCCAAATCTATAGAACTTGCTCTTAGAGCAAGAAGATTGGGTTGTTGGGTATCTCAGAGTCAATAACTCAAGCTCTCAACATTGTTCCCCAATTCCACCCCAGATGGTAGCTAATTGAGATATCAATACTCTTTTAAGTAAAATAATGGAAAAATCATTATGGGTATGGGCCATTGGGCACTGTGAGTGTAGATTCTGGAGTCACACCAGCTGGGTTCAAATCCAGCTCTATCACTTCCTGCTATGAAGTTTTGGGAAATTATTTAAATTCTCTATGTATCAGTTTCTTCATTTGTAAAATGGACATGATGGTAGTAATAGCAGCTACCTCAAGTGGCTATCTTGAATTTTAAATGAATTATTAGATGGCATAAAAGTGACCAGTACTTGTCAGCTACTATTATTATTAGGAAATCCAGAGATACCTGGATTTTGCAGAATTAAATATTCAGGGCACATATAAATTAGCCTAAATAGGGAGGATGAGGAACACGAAGTAACTTTGTATAGGGTCAGGGATTTAGCTCAATGGTAACTCTTGTGCTTGTCTAGCATGCACAAGGCCCTGGATTCAATCCTCAACACTGCTTCTCCCATCCCACATGCATACATGAAAATTAACTTCTATACAATCTTGGCCAAATTGAATAGTTAATGATGTCCTTCAGTCTGAGGAATAATCTAAGAGAAATGGAATTATCCATAATTTCCTAGATAGAAGAGAAATTACATAAGTACCTCAAAGTAGCTTGCTTTACTAAAAGCCTCTATTCATAATCGATTGCATACTCTATTGCATCTCTAAGTTAATGCTCAGAATAGTATATTTTTAAATCCTAGATCAGATTACTGGGATTTATTTTACTGAATGGAAGATTTGGATTATTCCTAACAAGTTTTCTCTCATCTTTGATAGTTTCTCTATAATATGAAGCACATTCAGAAGTGTTTCATACTTCATTTTCCAACTGAAATAATAGTAAATGATATTTAACAACCTTATCTTTCCATCTGCTACAAGAAGAAGAAGGAGGAGGAGGAGGAGGAGAGGAAATAAAGTATTGTCTCATTTTGGACTAGGACAGTAGCCTCCTAAGAATTCAAGAACCCATTCACCTCTGCCCTGAACATGAATTTCCCACCCCTACAATGATATAATACATGCCCCCAGAGGACCCTCCCACCTTTGCCACTAAGGTAGTGGTACCTGCCATTTAAGTCACTGTTAAGGCATCCAATGAATATAAGATCTGATCACTGCTAAATGGAAAAAATATAGATCCAAATTTTGAGCCTCCTTCTTTTTGCCCCCCAAGATTTCAACTCAGAATTTCTTATATATCTGACCTTTAAAGTTCCCGGGATTCCTTCCTAATATTGCATTATGCCAAAATAATGAATAAGAGGCTCCTTGACATGCCAGAGAGAGGCATATGTGGGGAAAGAATGCTTCTGAGGAATAAATGAGAGAAAACAAGGAGAAAATGTCTGACCACATGTGTGCCCATGAAGATACAATGGATGGATGGGATAGTAAAGCTTTGCCAAAGAATTTGAGGGTTTGTTAAGCAAGTGCAAATATTCTGAAAGGACCAAACAATTTCTAAACTATTTTTGGGTATGAGCTTACACATACATGCACACACACATACTCTTAAGGATTTTAGCACTGTTAAATGCCTTAAGTCATTGAGTAATAGTTTTTCATTCTAAATACTTTTAGTGGTTTGTGATATTTTCTACCTTGTCAGGAGTTTCACTAGGAGCTAACATGCAAGCAGGAGCAAGTTATGAGAAAAGGTCACACCCACTTAGAAAAGAAAAAACTCCTCCATTCAGCAACAAAATAAGCTTATTGTAGAAGACACCTGAAAAGCTAGTTGGGATCACTGTGATGCATACTTCAGATAAGTACTAGTTCTACTTCTTCTATCTATTTAAGAATCACTTTAAGAATGAATTTTTTTAAACATGTGCTAACATGTATGAGTCACTGGAGAAGAGAGTGTTGCAATTAATCTGAAAGAGGAAGATTCTTGCAAGATGTTTAATAGAAAATATTCTTTTTTTTAAAGAGAGAGAGAGAATTTTAAAATATTTATTGTTTAGTTTTCAGCGGACACAACATCTTTATTTGTATGTGGTGCTGAGGATCGAACCCAGTGCCATGTGCATGCCAGGTGAGCGCACTACCGCTTGAGCCACATCCCCAGCCCTAGAAAATATTCTTATCTCTATACCTCTCAGTGAGAACATAAGACTACTTCAGCAATTCTTCAGGGCTGTTGGCACTCAGGATATGGAGCATGACCTTGTTTGTCTAGTGACATATGCAGCATGGTATGTTGCTCTTTTGGAAGAAGAAAATATAACTTTAAAAGCCAACCATTCAAACTGATTAGGAATTTCTACTTTAATGATTTGAGACATAACCATCACATTTATCTGAAATACTATCTTAGGAGGCGTAACTTGTCCTAAATCCATTCATTTGGCAAACATTTATTGGGCACCTCCTATTTACTAAGCAGTGGGAATGAAACAGTGAACCTTGTTCTCATGAAGTTCACATTCTACTAGGATGCAGAAAGAAAGAAAGAAGTGTCTGAAGAAAAATGATGCAGGATAAGAGGATGGATAATGATAGTGATGATATTTTTTGAGAACAGTAATATACAGGATAGTGAACCTAGGTGACCTATGAGCAGACATGAGTGAAGTGAGGGAACCAGTCATGTGACAACAATAGATTCTGGATAAATGGGTCATCAAACACAAAGTTCTGAAAGTAGAAACATGCCTGACTTGAAGAAGATCAAGGTCAGTGTGACTAGAATAGAGGGATAGTCAATGAGACACTTGCAGAAGTTACTATGTATCTAGAGTCTTGTAGGCCAACGAACAGATTTGAATTTGAAGTATGTTGGGAAACAACTTTTGGGAAAGTTTCTGAGCAGGGAAATGACCTGAAGTGATTTATGATAAGGATCAAATGTTTCTATGTTCACAACAAACTAAGCATCAGAGTGGAATGTTGAGTAAACTATTCTTTTCCAGGAATTATTTAAAAGGTTCTCTATAGAAACTGGCTAGTTGGAATCTATTTTACAAACCATTAAATACAAGTAAAAGCTGCTATATGTGAAGTAGTCTTGATGTTTAACTCTGGCAATAACTTCAGATATGTCAGAAATATCAATGACATTTGAGTAATAGTTTTTTTGAGTAATAGTTGGATGTGTATATATAGAATAAATATATTACTTCACAATTATTGTATGCTAGCAAACAAAGGCATCCTTTCACTAGGTTTGCACAGCTAGGAACTTATGTATAGTTACAGTGCAAACTTTTCATATAGCCAATGCACTTTTTTTTTTTTTTGCTATGAATAAACATCATCTGGTTCTTGGCCTGTTGGAACTTAACATTCTATTAACTTTCAACAAACCATTTACTGAACGTCCACTGTGTCAGACATGGTACTAGACATGGCGAGACAAAAATGAAAGGTTCCTTTTAACCAGATGCAATCAGAAACAAATGAGAATTTTTATTTTTAAAAAAGTGCAAACATTTATAGAAAACTATACCAGGTAGTGCCTAAGTAAGCAAAATAACTAGTTATTTGTGGCATTATCAGGAAGAGGTTTCCTGGATGGATGAGCACAAGTTTTAAGAAAATGAATTAGATTTGGAAAATAGAATATTCTAGACAAGTAAAACAGCGCAGAAAGGCGTATAAGAGTCCTGTCATATGATTCCACACCCAGGTGTAATAGGTCTGGATCGTTAGCGAAGGGTGGAGGAGGCAATTGGAGGAGAGCTGCAAAAACAAGCCAAGTAGTTCACTATTGACATTTGAGGAGCAGCGAACGTAATGGAAACAAAGCGTTTTTGTTTGATTTTGCTGCCACCAGTATGTACTGCAAACGGGTACACCGAGACAGATTTTTTTACATTCATATGTCGTACTTTTAATACACAACTTTTAAAAACGTTTAGGACACATTCTGGAAGTTTTTCAGGAGTAAACAGTCCAAGAGCAGAAGTGTACATCAATTGGGGTTCAAAGGCGAGGAGAAAAGCGGCTTTCCATTCCCCGCTTCCGTGCCAGTGTGTTGTAAACTTTTACGAAAAACGGTTTTAACAGACGATATAATGCCTTTAAAAGTGCTTATCACAGTGTCTGGCCCATAGTATGCACTCAACAAATTACGGTTATTATTTGGACCTTAGACCTCTCTTGTCCATTTGGGATTCAGGTTTCTCGTTTTCAGGGGGAAGAACGGGACGCAGATGGTCTCCGGGGCTCCTGTCAGCCTTGACAATCTCCGATTTCAAGTAGACACCAACTAACATCTGCAGGACAAAGTAAATTCTCTCCACCGGGTGGGGCTGGGCACCCATCCAAGGACCCAAGTCAGGGCAGGACGGGCCCGCGAGTCCCACAAACCGTTTTGGTGGGTGAAAATATACTGCACATCCCTCTGCTAAGACCAACAGGCGGGCTGAGAGAGCGGGTCTCCGATCCGCCAGGGACCGGCTCCCCTCCTCAGCTCCGGGAGGGGCTGGCCGGAGGACCCGCTCTCCAGAGCCCAGCCCACCGGGCCGGGTCCCACCTTCGCCGACGCTCCCGCCACGCCCCTTCCGGTTGAAGCACCGCCCCTCTCGCCCACGGTCGTCTCGCCGGCCCCGCCCACGACCCCTCCCCGCCGCGAGCTCGGCGCCTGGTCCTTTCAGCGCCAGCCGGCGGACACGTCCACCCCCGACGCTCTGAGGTCACCAACAGAGCCGGACTGCGGGGGGCGGAGGGACGGAGGGAAGATGGCGGCAGAGGCCGGATATTGGCGCCGCCTCCCCCAATCCCGGAGCCGGCGCAGATGAGGCGGCTCGGCTGGGGCCAGCGGCGCTTCGGAACCCGAGCTGGAGGGACCCTGGCGGTGGGGCCTGTCCCTGCTCTATGCCGGCGCCTCGGCTAGAGTGAGCGGCGGCAGCGGCGGCGACGCCTCTTTCCTCCGGCCGGTTCCCTGTGGCTGTGAGTCCGAGCGGGTGGCCGGCGGCGGGGTCGGGATGGAGGACGTTAACTCCAACGTGAACGCGGACCAGGAGGTGCGGAAGCTGCAGGAGCTGGTGAAGAAGCTGGAGAAGCAGAACGAGCAGCTGAGGAGCCGCTCGGGGGCCGTGCAGGGCGCAGGCCCCCTTGGGCCCGGCAGTCCGGTTCGGGCCGGCGTGTCCACTCCCTCCTCTGGCTCGGCGTCCCCTCGGGGCTTCCCTTTGGGCCTCAGCACCAAGTCGGGCAGCGGGGCCGGATCGGGCCCGAGACGGACGAGTAGTGAGGAGCTGCGGGACGCGACCTCCTTGCTGGCATCTGGCGAGGGCGGCTTGCTGGACGAGGTGGAGCCGCTGCGGCCCGACGAACTGGAGCGCCTGTCAGGCTGGGAGGAGGAGGAGGAGAGCTGGTGAGCGCGGGGCTCCTGCCGGGGTTGGGCGGGGACCGGCCGTGGGCGGAGGAGCGTCCTGCGAGGGTCCCTCCGGTAGGACGCCGCGCTTTGTGTAGCAGGGTCCGTTCTCTGCAGGGGACTAGTGGTTTTCTTGCTTTGGCTATTGGAAGGTCAGCTAGGGTTGGGGATTCGAGGTGTGCGCAAGGAAAGAGGCATGTAGCCAGCTCTCCTCTGGGTGGTGAACCCTCTGGGGTTGCTGGACTCAGGTGGGGTCTATGGGTTGGCTCACCTTGAGTAGGTCTGCGCGCTTGGAGGAGTCGGAGAAGGGAAGCTGCTTCCACGGAAGGAATCCTGCTTTGTGTGAATATACCAGCTTTCGGATGGTGGCCTGAGCATTTGAGATGTCAGGGAGGGGTCTGCTTGTTGAAGTATCACCGGATGGGGGGGAGGGTTCACCAGAGTCGTCTTCTGTGTCAGTGTAGTGGTCAGTGTTCTGGGCCAGTGAGGTGGGTGAAATGGGCATATTTCTGGTGGAGATGGAGAAGCCGTGTGAATCAGCACTGCCCTTTGGGCAGTGGGGTAAAGCTTGCTTTGTGTGAAGAGGGCAGAGGATGGTGATGCTTTGTGTGAAGAGTCAAGGGTAGAACAAGAGCAACTGGCTCTTAAATTTTAAAGAATTGGATCTGGCATTTTTTTGAGTTGTGGAGCGACAGTTATCAAACCCAGTTTTCATTTCCGTGTTATCCTAGGGGCAGAGAAAAAGAGCCCTACTTATAAATATCTAAACCAAAGCTGTATTGTCATAAGTCACTTCTTGATGAAATTGTGACCCACACCTGAATATCACTTTCATAAATAGAAAGGACATTGCCTAAAGTAGTTGGGACAAATGTTAAGGAGGAGGTATCTTTGGAGTCTTATTGCTGCCTAATAAAGATGAATCTGGGAAATTCTCTCTACTAATTCATTTTTTTTAAGTTTTAACTTTTAGTTAATATGTTTCTATTCTTTGTTGAAATTGAAACTTCTAATTTAGAGAAATGGAAATCCTTCACTATATAACAGGGCTGAAACTGGAGTGTTCTGAGCTTTGCCTGGATTTAGGCCCTGACTATGCTACTTACTTGTTGTATGACCTTGGACTTCACTTTAGTACTTTGAACTTCACTTTTCTTCCTGTTTGATGGAGAATATTATAATTGCTTCCTCCATAGAGTTGTGAAGATTGAATGAGATAATTTAGCATTGATCTGGCATGTAGTAAATTCTCCAATACTAGTTACTGTTACCCTTAGGCCTAATAATTGAAATCAAGAAATATTTGGTGAACTGTTCCATGATATCGTGGGAAATTCTTAAGTGTTGTTGCCTGTTCATAAAGCAATTTCAGTCGTGTTGAGAGTTAAGTTTTAGGCAACTAAATAAGGTAGGATATATACAGTGAATTTTTGAAAGAATGATAGTTGAACAAGAAGTACTGACAGTGCTCAGAAACTCCGAGGAAAATAATGGTCTAAAGTAGTTGGACAAATGTTAAGGAGGAGGTATCTTTGGAGTCTGAGGGCGGGGAAAGAGTAGGAATGGCATTGTAAGCTCTGACAACTACAAAAGGTATTTGTAACTCCTAGTTAGAAATATGAATAACAGAGGTACTCTTAAATATATGATGTCAAGCCTTTTATTGTCATGTGATAACAAGTATTAGAATTGGCTATGGTAGTGACAGTTTTTCATGTAAGTATAAAATCGCATCCTCCCAAAGGAATCCTTAGTATGTACACACTTAAAAAAGAACCTAAAATCATCCTAATATCACCTGCCCCTTCCAAGTGGTGATCATAATGATGCTTGTAATAATGAGGATTAGCTGCACTCATCAGCCCATTTTTAGATTATAATTAGAACACACTGACTACACTTAAAGAAACTGATTAAGTCCTTGAGTACTTTGGTTTCTGAGCATAAGATTTGTTAAGGTAAAGCAAATGTTCTTAAATACTATGCCAGGTGTTTCTTTTGACCAGATAATGGCTCCTTGCTGCTTTAATCTGGCTTGTTATCTTTATATTATAGATATGCTTTTTCTGAAAAGATTTGTGGAAATTAAGAGTTGAAAGTTGGATAAATTTTATTAAAAATGCTTTGGAGTATGTTTTATGGGTATAAGTTGGAGGGGGTAGGTATCAGTGCCAGAAGATTCATGAGTCAAAAGAGTTTTTTTCTTTCTTGGCAAACCCAAATCCTGCCATCTGTGGATTCTACCAATCACACCATTTTCCCCCTATTTAGAGGAATGTTTTCCCCATGTAGATATATATGCCACAAAATGCTAGTTCTGAAAGTGCCAGTAGGCGTTTTGGGGAAAAATAACTGTGGGTTCTGGGGTCAAATAAATGTGGGGAAAACTGGATTCAATAAAAATAAACATTTCTTTAATGCTGGACTTCTTTGAGATGCAATTGTACACTGAACACACTAAATCCCTAAGGGATATGGTTTTTTCCTAAACTTAATTGAACTCCCATAGAACTGGTTAGTATAGTATAGACTACATTTTATTTAGGTAACAGAAGTCTACAGCTGTGCCTGTCACACTTTGTGGGGGAGGGTAGGGGATCCAACTTTATAATATGAAATACATTTTACCTCATAACCTAGTACACAAGTTATTAATAACATGAAAGTTGCACAAAACTATGGATACTTTTACTACGAGTGGTACACCCTAATATTTTCTGTTGTCTTCGGTTTCATTGGTGGGAGTAATGCCAGTTACCACTTACTAAACTGATTTTGCACCTCTCACTTTTGAAAACACAGTTCTAGAATAACTCAGAAAAGTCTAGGGAAGGAAACTAACATTTTTGTGCATCACAGTGTTTCAGGCTGTGCCAGGCAGCTTATAAACATTTTTGCATTTAATTTTTATACATTTATAAGTTTGGTATAATTTTCTAGGTAAGAAAAATTAATGTCTTACTCAGCATCAAATAATACACAGTAAACCATGAAGCCAAAATTAGAATCCAGGTATTTATACACAAAGGCCTATTCTGTTTCTGCTGTATTTTGCTTTTTCCAAGTATGATACCTTTTCACTTGAGTGGCCCCATTGTTTATTTTTTGCTGTTATGGGGATTAAACCTTGGGCCTGTCACAAGTGCTCTGCCACTGAGCTACATCCCCAACCCATGAGTGGCCCCTTTAAATATTTGAAGACTACTATCATGTCCCCACTGATCTCTTTTCCTCAACACACATTCTGAATACTCTTCTCCAGAGTAAATTTTTCCACTTTGTTTAATAGTTTCTTAAATAATATAGTTGTCTGATCCTGTTATGTTTTTCTGAACTCTGGTTGCTCACTCATGGTATCCAGAATTGTACTCAGCATTTTAGGTGATAGTTGACCAGAGAGAGTGTGGTGGGTATACCTGGCTTGAGCTAAATGCTATTACTTTTATAATAATGCTGTTATATATTTTAAAACTGTCATTCATTGATGATTTTAACTTCTATTACTTAGGCTTAATATGAGCCAGTACAGTCAACTTCTATCCCACATATCTCATACATTAGGTAGTTAAACTAATCTTTTTAACCCTGTTTTTGTGAAATGAAGTTTTTAGTTTAAATATAAGGCTTTCAAATTTCACTTTGTTAGCCTTGATTTAGGCATTTAAAAGTATTTCTAATTTTTTTGGAGTGTTATCTTTATATTTGGTAGGTATGCCTACAGGGTCTCCATTCAAATCATAAATAAACAATGTTACAATGACAACTGAATTACTATGAAGTGTGCAATTTAATTCCCTCCAAATTAACATCAGTCTATTAATCAACACACATTATGGTTATTCAGTAACTATTTGTCCCATGTATAATTTTCAGGCTTATATGACATTTTGTTTGCATATTATGAAAAATTTTGTCAAGTGCTTTGCTGTAATTAAACCAAAATGTGCCTACAGTGAAGTAAAGTTATAAAAATCACAGTTAATTTGTTTGTCTTGTTCATGCTGACTGTTTTGGATTTTATGGAATCAGTTTTTCCTCAAAGTCACAAACATTCTATTTAACCCAATTTTGAATTTTGCAAAGAATCTGTTTGTTCTGGAATTTCTAAACATTGCTTATTTTTCCTCTTTAGAAATTATATTTCCTCTGATGTAGACTTTTTTCCCCCCATGGTGCTGAAGGATGGAACCAGGGCCTTGCATTTACTAAGCAAGCACTCTACCACTGAACTGTATACCAGCATTTCTAATAGATAATGATTCAATGAAAAAAATTCTATTATTTTCCTTCATTCAGAAGAGTAGGCGTAAACCCATTTAAAGCTATATTCTAGCATACTATCACCTTCCTGCAGTTGAACTTCAATTTCCTTTCAAGAATGTTTGTTCTGCACTGTCCACTTGAAAAAGTTTATGGCAGAAAAAAACCTCAAAAGCTAAAAAAGATATTTCTTCCTCTCCCTGTCATCTAGTATTGTTGCATATTTTGTTCCAGTATTTTAGATTATCCCTTTTTTGTGCTAATGCTATAATTTTTTCCTTGAGTTTTCCATGTTGAGATATAATTTGATACCATAAAACTTACCATTTTAAGGCATATAATTCAGTGACTTTTAGTATATTTGTAAAGTTGTGCAACCATTACCACTAATTCCAGAACATTATTATAATCTCTAAAAGAAACTCCAAACTCAATCATTATTTCCCCTCTTTCCATCTCCATTTATCTACATTGTATTTTTTGTTGTTTTTTTTTTTGTTTTGTTTTGTAGTATTGGTGATTGAACTCAGGGCTTTGTGCATGCTAGGTAAATGCACTACCACTGAGCTACATCCCTAACCCTTTTTAAAATTTTTATTTGGGGACAGAGTCTTGCTAAATTTCTCAGACTAACCTCAAAACTTGGAATCCTATCTCAGCCACCCAAGTATCTGGAATTACGAGCATGTGCCACCACACCTAGCTCCATTTAACTGCTTTCTGTGTCTACCAAATTGCCT